CGAAGCTTTGGAAATATTTTGAACAATAACTGGACAAAGAGGATCATTGGTTGTGGAAGCTGGGTACGCTCTCTCCCTTTTCTCCCACCTTTTTGTTGACAAGTAGGTAACAGCAACACCTAACTCCCACGTAAGTGTCAATGAGTAAAGCATATAATGCAGCTCTAGGTTTGGGTTTATTCCTTAGTTTGTTGGTGTCCCCCCATTGCCCCGTTTTTCCTTTTTAGGCTGAAATTTCTCATTAGTAGACAGAGTATGCCAAATGTCTGCAAACAGCTGCCCAAGCCCCACAGAACTCACAGGGGCTCCATGCAGAGGGAAGGTGTGTCCCACCATAAGAAGCTGTAAGGGTCTACTCTAGGGCAGATAAGCAGGCCTGCTACCGGCGGTGTTTTACCCTGTACTTACCCGGGGGAAGAGAGGAGGATTGTGTAGAGGCCACTGCAACAGTCGCTGTAGCCACCAGCAAAACTAGACCCCAACACGCGTTTCTGCAGCAGAACTGGACCGTATTCTCCATTTCACACTAACCTGACACGCAGGCATTCTTATTAGCTTTTCTGCACCATCTTTCTGCTACTTGTTATTTCTAATTACCTTCCCTTTTCTTCCCACAGATTTGCAGGCTTCCTTTCAGGTGTGTCTGCCAGAAGCTGGTGCCTGCAGCCTTGCTTCTTGTTGCCTTTTGGTGGGCCATGAATTATAGACTGCAGAATTAACACAGAGAATTACAATACAAGGTCATTGCTGGACTCTGACCAATATCATTAACACCCAGGTGGTGGCAGCTGGTTTGTTTTTCAAATTTACACTGACAAAAATCTCTTTTATATTTAAAACATAGGCTAGTGCTGGGTCACTGCTGTTTCATACCTTTTTTAAAAAAGAAAAATGTTTAAAATAAGGAGGTTGTTGCTGGATAACTGCCCGACTTGCTAGTTTTGAAATGTGACTCCAGGCGATTAAAGTCTGTCATTTTTGTTTGTTTTAATGCAATACAAAGTGTCTATTTCATATACATGAGTTTCTTAAAGAGATTCTGGATGTGGGGAAGACTGAAGGCATGCTGGACATCCTTTAAATTTTAACACTGTAAAAGCAATAGTAAACATTAAAACCATGATACTTTTTTAAAATTAAATTGTTGCTTCAAATGTTTCACGGTGTTATCTACTTTATTTTCCAAGATTGTGCTATCACATGTTAATAACAGTATCTTGTCTTGTACATTTAGCTGAGACTACAGGACAGGCTTTACTTGATTCTTACATAGTAAAATCAGCATATGCAATGACAATTTCTTGGAAAAAGAGTGGTTAGGATGAGCTAGCAAACAAGTCAGTTGGGTTGGTACTTGAGGGCCACTCAAGCCAAGCAATTACTTTTCCAGAATTTTTCAGAAATCTACTAATAGATTTTACACTCTTCTGCCTCTTTTCAAAGTAAAACTCTGAGTTTCCCAGAAAAAAAAAAAACAAAAAAACCCCAAAAAAACGCAAGAATTTGATTGGATTTGGAAAAAGCATTTCTTTGATGACACGTCTTTTTGGAAGGCACGTGCTTAAGGGAAGTAGATGACTAAGGGAAACCGGAGGACGGCTTACAGGATGGAGATGCTGTAGGTGTCACCCTGGCATACTCCACAGGCGGCCATTAGGACAGAGTTGGGTTTCTTCTCTCTTGACAACATGCCCCAACCGTACCAAGTGATTCTCTATGTCTGGGTGCACCTTCCCTACCCTTTGCTGTTGAAGCTGTTTTTCACTGTATACAGTCATAGACTCTCTCTCAGCGAGAGAAAATGAAAGTGCATCTCTGTGGTTTGGGTATTCCCCTCAGCAGAGGGGATACCTGCTTCCTGCCTAGTCAAGCGACTACTACAGTTAGCACACTTTTGAAACAGGAAAATACAGTATTTAATGGCCCGGTGATTTAAGCACTCATCTGAGAGGTCGGAGTTTCAAGTTCAAGTCCCTGCTTTAAATCAGACAAGGAATTTGAATCACACTTTTCTTCAGTGGAGACAAATGCCAAACACAGTCAAGTTTAAGCGGGTTGAGGAATGTGTTTCCTCTTTTTCATGAATAGTGCCCAAATCCCATTATGATCCTAACCGCCCATCTCAAAAAATTCCTCGGCGGGGGGGGGCGGGGAGGAATTAAAGAAAGGCTTAACTACAGTATTTCATTCAACCATTTCATGTTAAAGGACTTTGAAATATCTTTGATTGTCTTGAAATGCAGAGCAAAAAGAAAGTATGCAAAGAAGGTCCGTAGAGGGTGGTGGCTCTAGCATACTTTGAAAGTTCAGTCAGCAGCAGCAGCAGATATTCTAGTGTCACCTTTTTTCAAATGCCCTCGAGCCAATTTGCCCTTCAGCAGCAGGTAGCCAAGATTTTCTAGAAAAGCATGGTTAGCACATCTGGAACCTTAGTCTCTCTCAGGCCAGAAGCTGGCCAGCTGAACTGCCCATATAAACAAAAATGAGACCAAAGTTTCATCAGCGAATTGACTCCATGATAGTAGTGTGATAGAAAATAAGTTATTATTTAGTGAAGGGTAAAAATTCCCATCAAGAGGGTCTAATAAACAATCTATGCACATGTAATAGAAGTACCAGCTGCTAAAAAACTGATTCTTCCCTGCTGAATCACTTTAACACTACAAAATAATTTCAGTTATTTACAGATAAATAATCCTTATGCACAGGGGAGCAATGATAAATTGGAGACTGCCACACTACCTCTCCTGTCTGAAAGCTGCGTGGGATGACTCTGCTTTTTCACACTCTTGCAATCTATAACACTTTGAATCACAAGAGAGGGGAAGTTCAACATCCAGCATGTACGGAGCAAAAGACAGTCTCAAGGAATATAAAATGCAATAATCACACCAACGAAGCAAGTGAAACAGAAAGCAAACAGCACCCACAAGAAGAATGAGCACAAACTGGAGTACTCCTCTCTCCTCCAGGCTCTCCTCTCACCTGTGGAGCTGAGCAAACAGCCTCTTAGTTAAGGCTCCGCACTGTGACTCAGGAGACCCAAAGTTAATTACCCTTTTTTTTTTTTTTAACTGCATACTTCCGCATGTAACAGAGTTTACGGCACTTGATTTTTTTTCGACATCCTGTTTCTATTTGTTCCTAGGTGAAGGAACTGCGCTGACTTTTCACATCTTAAACATTCAGTTTCCAGAAGCAGAAGGGACAGATGAGTAAGCACATGAAACAAATGCAGGTAACAGTACTAAGATCCAGAATTCCTAATTATTCCACACGCTGCTCTCTGCCTACCCACAGACAAGTTTTACAACACACAAGACATCCTCCTGCTCATTACAGCCATACACCAACGTGACGTCGTGCTGCCAGGCACTACACGAAAGCAAGCCGCTTCATTGTGATATATCCTGAATTTTTCCTATGTATCTGTTAAATATACCAAAAAAAGAAAAAAAAAAAAAAAACCTAGAGTTCAGTTGAAGCTTCTGGTTACACTATAGTATGCGCAATATAACCTTTCCCTGATTGTACGTAGATGATTTCCCAGCAAACACTGTTCTTTCGTATTTCCTAAAGCTTTCAGTACCCCTTACGGACAAAGGGCAAACAAAGCAAACATACATTTTCTGCGCACCCTGTAGGTATCTCACATAGGCAGCACGATGTTGTAACACGACTGGACCTGTTTTAATAAACCAAAGGTTAGTTATAGAATCCAAACCCATGGATTTGGTGCTAAAGCCGTTTCGAGTGTCACCTCAAGCATTGCAGGCAGCGAGGAAGGTGCTGGAGGCAGCGTGCGCTCCCCCCACAGCCAGCCAGCCCCGGGACCTGCCGCCAGCCCTCGCCCACCTGATGACGGTCGGTGCCGACAAGGGAACCGGGAAGCTCTTTCCAGGAGGGCTTGGGACAACCCGCTCCTCTCCAGCTTGTCTCCTACTGCCAGAAAGCATACAAGCTGGCAAAACACAATCAAGAATACAGAGAGGACTGAAATACCAGCATTCAAATCCTCCCCCCTGGCACTCTGTTACCACAGGATTCACCCTGCACAAAGATGCCCCTGAAAAGATCTTTCTGCAAAGTTTCCAGCGCTGCTCTGTCAAGAAAAGTTATCCAAAGGGCTAATTCAGCCTACGCAGGCTCAGAGGCTGAGGCAGGGATGACAAAAGCCCTGCACCTCTGGGGAGGTGGGGAATTTTGTTAAGCTTTTTCTTTCAGTGAAACATTTCTGTGTAACTTAGCACAACCAACACGGCGCTGGACAACTGGAGGTAAAATTACTTCCATCCACATGTGGACTACAGGCCAGTCATGACACACTCCACAGCATTAAAAATACCAAGAAAAGCTTTATAGTTTATTCATAGTTTAACCTTAAGAAAACCATGTTCCTAGTAACATCTTCTGCTTTACCCGGCTGCTACCTGGCAATACGGACACAAAATAAAAGAATTTTACACAGATGAACGTCCCACAAGTCAGTCGAGTTAGAAAACAGGAACATCAACATACCGAAAGCTGTACCAACCAACGGCTCCTCTAAACGCACCCTGAAGCCCAGCACAGAGCCCTCCACAACCTGGAGCCAACCTGGAGCCAACAGGTTTTACCCTGTATCCACGCAGAAGATCTTGGCACTAGCCAGCCAAAGCCACCGACTTTAACTTGAATACACGCTCCAAAAAAAATTTTTAAAAAGGAAAAGAAAAAAATAAGAGAGGAAGTTTCTTGCAAGATTGAGGCCAAACAGAAAGCTATTTGGCATGTTTATTGGCAGTTTTGCAGTCCCGACACAGATGGAAGAGCCAGACTTTGCTCTCCCCTTCCACACCCGAGGCACATGGGGAAGGAAAACGTTCATTGCGATTACGCTCACGGTGCTCTTTTCATCATGAGAAGCCTTGAATGTTTAAGACTTCCTCTTTTGGGAGCATAAAGTTATTTTTTAATTAGGCAGAAAAATCAAGTTGCATGGATTTTTCTCAAAAGGCTACTTAGGCCTCTGCTGCTTCCTCATCTTCCAGAGCATCTACATGGTTATACTGTTTCCAGGCCTTTAAATTACATTTTTTGAGAACGGCTCCCAGTTGATTCCCGGGCCCCACTTCGTACGTGTAAGGAAATTCTGTTCCTTGCTTTCTTTCGTATACAGAATGCATGGTCTGTTCCCACATAACAGGTGAAACTACCTGCTTCACTAACAGCTTCTGAATGTGCTTTGAGTGCATGTACTTTTTGCCATCAACATTGGAATAGACACAAACCAATGGTTTCTGAATCTCAATCGATTTTAGGACTTCAGCCAATGGCTCTACTGCTGGTTCCATAAGTCTGGTATGAAAAGCCCCACTGACTGGAAGCATTTTTGTACGTGTAAAATAATATTTTCGGGCATTCTGCTGCAAAAACTCCAAAGCCTATAAAAGAGAGAGAGAAATGAGAGTCTTGCATGACAACGGTTTACTCAGTCACCCCACAAGAACCACCTCGTCAGACTTATCACGATAAAGGGATTCCTCTCCCTATCCAACAACTGAGCACACACTGGGGAAAAAACCCATAGATCAAATACTTCTGTTTGGACAAACTAAGGCCACACATAGCTTCCACACCGGAGCGCAAAGTGAAAGTTTTAAAAAATGAAATGTTAAATTCAACTAAAGGGATAGTTATTCTGAAGCAATACCTGTAAGTGTCCTGCAATGACTCTGCTGTCTGGAAACAAATAGTTTGAAACCGCACATACAGGGTTTTCTATACCCAGCGATTCACAGTGTTTACGGGCTTCCAAGCAGGCAAATTTGTAATTTGCCTCTCGCTGACCGATAACAGACAGCATTCCACTGGGGACAGCTTCCGACGCCTTTTGCATGGCTTCGGCGCGCACCTTCACCGCGTACAGCGCTAAAGAGAAAAACAGAGATGCTCGGTAAATAGAGAAAACACCGTTAAAAGCGCCTTGCATCTGTGCGCAAGAAAGGGTGGCTGTTTACTCTCAGGAAACGTCAATGCTTTTAATGCTGTAGTACACGTATTAAAGTGAACAGCGGAAGTAGAAAGTAAAATTTATCCTCTAATAAAAAAAAGCGGGAGGGAAGCAGTGGGAACAGGCGATGCTTTGCAAAAAGCATGGGGCGGGGCTGGGAGGTCCTACTAGGGGGCTCAGCACATTCCCCGGGCACCTTCGGCAAAGCCCAGGGCTCCAGCGAAGACCAGCGCCGCGAACTCCCCCACGCTGTACC